TTAATCGTTCCTCGTCGGCGAATATTCGAATAGCTTGTTCGTGTCGCATGTAGTCCTATTGCATGTCTTAATTCTTTTCCTTGGACGATAACGCCGGCTTTTTGTCTTAGGATTGTACAGTTCCCATGACAATCAGGTTGACCATATCTTCTCGTTTGATGTTTCCTGCAATGAACCTATAAGGGATCTTCGTTATGCGTCCTGACCGAAGTGTTGTTTGTGCCTCTGTTTTTTCTTTGCGTAATCGCAATTTCTGTGATCCAAATCGGGATAGCTCAGTAAAGTCGTCTTAGCTTCCCGTGTCGAAGGCGTCGCTCATTTTTGCGAAACCTGCATCCTTATGTGGGGATGGTGAAGAAACGGTTTCAGTTGTTTGGTCCACAATATTCGTTGTGTGGGCAGCCGCGAACTTTTTGGATGACGTCGGTTCTTGTATTTTTAAAGACGTTTTCTCTTCGATCCTGACGGAGTGTCGATTGTGGCCATTCGCTTTTTGCGCAATTTATCTTCCTCTGTTCTGTGACGGACTTTTGTTGTTCACGTAATCTTCCTCAAAATGCGGTTTCGAGGTCTCTTCATAATCGATCGTGCCTTGTTTCGAGTTGCTTGGCTCATTTGGATCATTGGTTGTGCCATGTTATTCATCGTGCCACTTTCCATGCCGCCATTTTCAGTAATTGGATACGTTCAATTATTGGCGCAAAGTACGAATTTCGGACCACCACCTGCTTTTTTACCGGACTTTTTAGAATCGCCAGTCGCTTGTTGAGATGTTGCACCCGCTGGTGCAGCTCCAATCTCCTTCGAGATGTTTCTTGTTCCGATCCCGCTTTGTTCTTCTTGCCAGATTCAGGTGGTATGCGCGGATTCTGCCATTCGAAGTATCGGGTGGCTCGTTAATCTCCCTTGTGAGCACTATAAATGGCAGTTGATCTCCTCTTTTTCTCGTCTGATCGTTTCGCAATTTTTTTCCTTCCTGGAGCCTTATGTCTCTGCGTTTCAGTATCTCGGCGCTGTTTTACGATATCATCGCTTGTCCCAATGTTTTTGTCTAAACAGGGCTTAGGATTTTTATCCCAATTTGAATTATCCCAAGTCGGTTTGGTACTTATATTCGAAAGCGAAGAGTTTGGTTTGCGTCCCGAGTGGGCTTTGCATTGATTCAACGCAATAGTCTTTTGAACCGTTGTCCTCAGTGCTGCTAACAATTCATAAAATGAATGATTGAATGTGGAGGCTTTCTCTTCTGTCTTTCTTCATACATCCAAATATGCTTTAAACGGTTGTAATCAATATTTCCACCAATCCTATACTACGGTGACCGTTCGCCGCATCTACAATTAAGTTGATGTTATTATTCTTGCAATTTTCCGTAAGCGCTTTGCTTATTAGAGATGTATTCGGATAACGCATTGAGTTCTGAGTAACTCTCAATATTATCGAAAAAAATTTTATCTCGTTTTTGGTGTTGACTTGATTTAAAAAAGGTCAATTAAAATGGGCCCTTCCGTCATGCGACGGTACGTGCACAGGTTGGATAGGCCGTACCAACGCTATATAAATAAATCGGCAAAATTTTATGAATAAATCAAGTCGATATTAATGCATCAAGAGAATTGTCAATTAAAATCTACCCTCCTCGATTATAGCACACATAGAATTGTCTATGTTGGATGTATTTTAAAGATTTTCGCATCCCCTAAGGTAGAGGATTGCACTCCTCAGAAGTGCAAAACTTATTTTTGTTCTTATGAAGTTTATTATGTCCGAGTATTATTCGTTCCGTTTTTCGCTTAGTTTATCTGCTAGTTTCTGGATGGTTTTTATAGAGCCTGGTGCTGCTCCTCCGCAAAAATTAGTGGAACAAAGCTGCTGTGCTCCTCATCCAGAATTCTTTGTTGGTATTTTAATGTTCTGACACTCTCATGATATTTGTAGGCGTCAGATATAGTTTTAGGACAGGATTTAACATGGGGGTTGAAGATTTTTACATCGAAAAAGGTTCGACTGAATCGGCCTCCCCAGAATCCATTTGCCTTGATGTCAAGTCGAGCGTCATCTTCAGTAGTGGTTGTTTTGTTGTGAAAGCTCTCTCCTTCCAACGATTGAAGTTTCGGCTCTATTTCAACATCATGGCATACTTCGTCCAGGAGTGTCGCAAAGGTATCACGATTTTCATTATGTCTTAGGTGAGTGTATCCACCTTTGCGACAGTGAGGAGAGTGGGTCAGTGTGAACGGTTGTCCACATGGGCATGTATGTGGGGTGTTTGGTGGTTCCCATCCATATCTCAGATTTAATCCATCTTTAAACTCTGATCTGTTGAGGGATAAATTGTATTTTACAAGGGTAGCACGCTTAGCCAATTCGATGCTCCTTTCTGTGACGCTAGATTTGTTGTCAGTTTTTTTCTGATGAGCAATTTTCCATAATTTCAGCCTTTTTTGAGAGTGTGATGTTCGGTCTCTCAGTTTTGATGTTTCTATTTATCAGAGTTTGTTCGGTTTCAGCTATTTCTGGATCGCTGTCTAATCCTCCCAATCCTAGTGACAGTGCAAAAAGGTTGCGATCTTCATCGGTTATATGGTTTATACCAGTAATACTTTTATTTTCTTGTTTGAAAGGCAGCCAATGGCGGCAGATATTTTGCCTGTTCTCAATAGTTTATCGAGTTGCATAACTTCCTCGTTTACTTCGGGCTTCGTCTGTGTTGGTTTTCTAATTTAAAGAGCATTCGCTCCAGTGAAAAATCCGTCTAATCGGCCTTGCTTCCATTAAATTATGCGGTGGCTAATGTTTTGGAATCTGATCCGTTTGTTTCTGATTTAGTTTTGGGGAGCAGCAGATGTGGGAGAATCATTGCTGCTTTCATTGCGACGTTAGATTTTGGTGTTTCTAGTAATGACAACAGCTGCTGGTTCAGTAATTTATGAATTGGAAACCGGGCTTGTTCTTGCTTAGAACTAGAAGCGCGGTTTCCAGTTAACGACATTTTTAATTTGGCGTTTATTTTAATTTCAAGTTCTTGGTCGATAAGTTTCCAGAAAGGGGGTTGTAGTGATTGCTGGGGGCGATGGATAAGATTGTGTTGCGTTGGGCAGTACGTTTTTTTCAGGTGTTGCCGGTGATGTTTCTTTTTGAGTTGTGATGTGGGCTGTGCTTGTTGGTAGAGTTGGGCCCTTTTGCAAATATCTCGGGGGGTGCATTGTAAGCAGGAGAACCCATCGTACTAAAATTTGCTGCTCTGTAGCCCGCTACATGAGACATGGATGTAAGCTTTGCAAATGACACACCATAAGCCTCCTTTTTGGAGGTGGCGTTTGCAAATATGGCAGTCCGTTTGATCGGCCATAATTTAGCAGCGAGGAAAGTAAGTTTATGGTGAATATATACAAGTTATCTGAGCGAGCAATAAACTGAAAGTTTCACTACCATAAAAAGAAAAATGATGCCATCTTTACAAACATATTAGCACTAAAATTAACGTTTAGATTGGTGGAAATAATTTGGATTCTTGAGTGGTAAAATGTATTAATAAGGCGAAACAAAGAGTTATTTAGAGCACCAAGTTTTCTGTTTATGAAGTGATTTTTTGCAGAGAGGATGATTTTGAGGATAATTAGCTCATTTGGGTTAAGCTTATGAGTTATCAAATTGATTAAAAATCTCCAATCATTAGCAAAGTCTGAAACCGTAGATGAGTTATCATTTAATCCGGCTACTATAGTAACACAGTTCAGTTTCTGCGAGGGGTAGCGCGAGACAGTAGCAGCAAGGTCGGCTAGCTTTGCACCTCAGTACGAGTGAACGGTGGCTCCGACATTTTTGGGGCTGCATTACTTGGTCCTTGAGGTTCCTGTTACCAGTTTCCTGCTCTAGTTGGGTAGCCTCTTCGGCCTGTACTTCGGCACGGACATTCACTAAGCAGGGTAAAAAAGAGGCAAAACAAGAGAAAGAATAGATTGTAAAATGGATTGTAGAGAAATGGATTTTAAAAACAAATAACAAAAAAGAAATGAAAGCGATTACAACCTGGTTTTTCACGGGTGGAGGTTCCGACGGGGATGTCAGGGTAGAGGGGGAGTATCGCGGCTTGACGAGCTTGTCTCTTAAATCCTAAATCCCGTATCGGGCCTTCTTCTTACAAGCGTACCATTATGAGCGTATCATATAACATGAAACTATTTAATAAGTTTATCACAGCAATTAGGCTAAATTAAATGTTTTTGCAACCGAAAATTTCAAGAACCTATATCTTGTTAGCAAGATGAAAATTTTTTTGCATTTTCATTATATAGAGGGCCGTTAAAATCCAGTTGGATTTCTTCGTTTGGTTGACTTAGATTTTTTCGAGGCTTCCAATCGACTTTGGTAATTAATGTTTTAAGAGTCGTACCAATCGTGGAACAGGGCTTGCATTCTTCAACTTTGTTGATGATGCTTTTTTGTTTGTGTGATCACCAAGTCCGTTCAGATTCAGACGTCATTCCCAGCTTTATACTTAAATCTCCCTACTTTATGATTTTCCAATGGTTTTTCGGTTGGGTAACATGATAACTTATGACCTGATTTACCTAATAAATAAAAAATAATAATAGCTTACATCAATTAGCGCATGACTTATTTAGTTCAGCAGCTATGCATGTAGGCAGATGTGTGGCGATGCTTTTTTAATGTTATAAGATGAAAAAACCAGTTAGCTTTGCTTAGTTGCGGCTTTCATCACGCGAAGAAAAGATTTGATGAAAATTTTTAAATCGTTTGTTCGTTACTTCTGTTGAAAACTGCCATTAATTTGTTCAAAACTGTTAAAGGAAATACTTTTTTTTCCAATCGATATTAAAAATCCAGCTTGGTCCACATGGTAAAGGTACAGTTACAGTCGGTAATTTGTGTTTAGCGAAAGTTCTCAACTTGCCGAATATCGTACTATAATTTATTGTATCTGTTCAATCTTAGTGAAGTTAGGTAATGGAATAATGTTTATCGACTTATCTTTTCAGGTTTCTTGAGTTCAACAAAGGCAATTGATCTATTCAATTTCAATTAAAAATGAATAACAAAAATGCGAAGTCGTCCAAAAAGAACAAGTAAGTTATTGTTGCGATTTACATGGCGACAGACAATGAAATTTCAATCACTGGAGTTCATGACATATTTTTATTAAAGGTCCGATACAGCTATGATGAGAAGACCAGTCAAAGGCCCAGAACCTCCAAACCTCATGGATGGGGTTTTACCGAAGTCACAATCGGTTAGTTAAAATATTTGGCGGCAGATAGAATGAAATAAATAGAAGCTACCCTGTTGCGTTTGCTAAATTGAAGTCTTTCTTTTTAGGATGTATCTTCCGCGGACTTGCTGAATGGGACATACAGAAATGCCTGCTTTATTAGGGCTTTCTTCAAAATTTACGTGAGTTGGCTTTAGTTTATAAAAATCAATGCAATTAGCTATGATTTTGTTCTTAACTGTGGAAAACAATTACTACTAGGGACGAGATGTTGAGATAACAGTTAAAAACGGAGCTATCTATCACGGAATCCTCTATTCGCTATCGCATCGTGGAGACATACTACTGCAGTGTGTGCATCGCATTCGTGGACCAGAAGAGGATGAGTCGAAGGAAATATTAAATCCCTCCAAGGACAATTTAGAAGAGTTTTTAGCCTTCCAGTCGGACGATATTGTTGAAATGATTTCAAAGTGTGTAGATTTGGAGGAAGATCAACAGAGTGCAGGTAAAATAAAGCGAAGAATTTTTTAAGACACGAAAAGATCCAAATTCAAAGCCTTAATCTGAATTAATAAAAGAAAAAGTAATTTGAAACATGCAAAGAGCTTTATTGTTATGCAATTTTTAACATTATGCGTGGTCGTATTTCAATGAGAGTCGACATTCATGGTTATTCATAGAAAAAGGTTTAGATTTTGTGAAAAAAAAACCATGAAGGTTCCTGAAGGTCACGTATCACTTTCTGTTCAACTGTCCGAAGAGATGATAAATCACATACTCTTTTTAGTGAATGGGAACAGTAGCAGCCGCAGCACATCTTTCATAACCGATAGTGAGTTGGGTGCAGTGCAGTTGGGTCTGTCCCGAGAGGATCTGACCAACGGAGGTGGAGGAATCAATGGGACGATGGAGAGAGAGCTGACCCCTTGGTTTCCCGAAGAGAACAACAACGAGTATGAGACACTCGATGGATCCGATGTGCGTTGAAAGCTGATCTCTTATAATTTTTTATTTTTCGAATGGAAGATCCTCAAAATCGTGAATTAATACGGCACCAGCCTAACTATTATCTCAGTGATGCTAAAGTTCCCTTTTATTTTCTTCGATGAAGCTAAATCAGGGTTCCTCAGTTGATGTCAAGAAGAAAAAGCGTGGCTGATGTTTCGATTTACTAGTGCGGAGCGATTTTTGGGTGATATGTTACAATCGGTGGTAGTTTTGAGTATAGTGCATGTGTTAAATTTGAGAACTATAACGCATAATATAGTCACTTCATTTTCATTTGTACTACTACCAAGATAATTTTTGTAAATATTTTACTCTGCCAGATGAAATACTATTCAAAAATTTCAATTTTACACTTTGCCAAAAAAATTTGGCTTTCGAAATAAATTATAAATAGTGTGCGAAGTGTAACAAAAAGCGATCGAGCTATTCAAACTGAACCTACCACCAATTGTAATATATCACCTGTTTTTGAAAAAATGTGTTAGCAAAATGATATCCACAATAATGTAAATCGAAAGCATTAAAGTGGATGCGGAAAGCTACAGTAGAAGTAGACATGCGAATGCTATTTAGGGATGCAATGGCTGGAGTGCCGAAGACATGCTGAAGACGAACAGAGAGCACTGCGGAGTACAGATTTGTACGTTTGACGAGAACCTCTACACGTAAGAACGAATGTTTTCTTTGCCTCGACTTTAAATAAGCATCGCATTATTTTAGATGGAATACTTTTTCTATGGTTAGGATTTAATGGATATAAATATGTTATGTTTTCTAGAACCTCTCTAGACAAAACGACAGAAGATTACAAGCAAAAATTTATGTGGGCGGATTCTATGGCGAGACAGATTGAAGGAGGCCAAGATCATGATGAGCGATCGAACATGGAGACGAATACGGGTGAGGAGGACGAGGAAGCCAAATTCTCCTCTGTTAGAAGAACCCATCACAACTCATCTTCGAACACCAGTACACTAACATCTACCCCTCCCCCCAACGACGCGGCTGCGGGATACCAACAGGCGCCCTTAAGCTCCAGTCCAGGAAACTCACGGTAAACTTTCAATCTATTATTCTCTAGAGTATACAGATTTATTGGACTCAATTAACGCAAGAACGATCTCCCTGCTCGAAAGGGCGGAGTATCTATTTTTTAAATTTTTTGTCGATCAGTGTTGAATATTCACTCTGACAAGTGAATTTACACTTGCGAAGCGAGTGTATTAGTACGAACATTCTTGTTTCCAACCTAAGTCGCAAATAAAAGTGCTTCTTTTGGTGGCATTTTGAACGATTGGCTGCTGTACCAGTATAATGTCATATTTACTTTAACATTTGATTAGTAAAAAGTTAACAGAGTTGATGCATTTTTAATTCATCAAATGAAACGGAAAAGTTATTTGTTTCCAACAGGAGTACTATGATAGAAAGCTCGATTTCAGAAATTTTCCAACTCAATGTATCTCGCAATTTTTTTTTTGAAATGCATAATTTAATCAAAATTTGGCATTATGCTTTCCAATTTATTAGATGCAAAATTGTGTCTTTTTGTATTTGTTCATGGGACTCATCTGGACTCATTTCTTGGAAGTTTCTATTTACATCTGTTTATACTTGCGATCTTTAGTGAGCGTAGTGTAACAATACGACTTTTCTTGATGCTTTCTAACTTGAGTCGCAAACATTGGTGCCACTTTTGGTGGCACCATTACGACTATTTGATAGCATGTGCTTTGACATTCAAATAATAATAAGTAAACAGTTGATTCATTTTAAATTCATTGAACCGAAAAAAAAATAAAAACAGTAGTAAAACCTCGATTTCCAACATTTTTTTACTCAATTTATCTCGCAATTTTTTTTTCAATTTATACATGATGTAGCTTTATGCTATCCAAGTTATTACATACAAAGTAGTGTGGATCCCTTCAGTTTGATATATTTCAAGTTATTAATTGAAACATTGTGTCTATTTGTGTTTGGTGCCACTTTTGCCGCATGACATTGGCAATTTATTAGCATATCTAGCTGCTTTATGTGTGACTAGTGTTTGAGCTTTGTCAATGTTTTACTAATTCGAGACTTTTTTATTTTTTTATTTCACTTTTATTCCATGTTCCATGCAAAGTTAGTGTGGTTGCCTTCAGTTTGTCACATTTGAAACTAATACTTGTAAAACTCAGTCTATTTGTATTTGGTGCCTCTTTTTCTGCATGGCATTGGCAATTTGTTAGCATATTTAGCTGCTATATTTTTGAATAGCGTGTGCTGGTTCTAAAGCGTCAGGACGTGAGACTCCAATTCTCGAGGTCGCTGGTTCAAAGACCATTTTTTGCGAAGTTTACTAATTCGAGGCTTAATTCTATCTTTTCTTGTTTCAATTTATAAAGTGTTTTTTTTTTGTCTTGTTCTCACTAGTGTTTGCGAAGCACAGCTTCGCCACTGTTTTATAAATTTAACGCTGCAAATATTTTCGTGCTTGTTAGCTTTTTGAAATTCTGTCCTATTGGAAAATTTGCTTTTTATATTAGTTGTACTTTTTCAAAATTGATATGTTTACACTTGCGATTAGCAAGCGTTATCAAACGGGATTATAGACTTTTTTTCTGGTTTATAACTTTGTAAACAGAATCACTTGGTTCATAATGAATTCAAATTTCTAAGCTTCTCCGGTACGCTTAGTTAAGAGGCAGCGATTACTCCTGGGACGGCAAAGGTCCTGGGTTCGAATCTGATCAGGACCTGTTTTTTTTTTCAAACGGGAAATACTTCGTTTCAAGAAAAATTGTCGGCTTATTATTTGTCTGCTTATGTTTTGTCGGCTTAGTTGCCACATCTTGAAATGTTTTGCTGTATGAGAATTTCATTGTTATTGCTTTTTATGTTTCCATTTACTCGTATGACTTCGTATGTTTTCTTTTTTTACCCTTGCGATTGCCCAATGTTGATTTTTTCGGATTCGTGATTTTCGGCCTTGTTTCCGTTGGTTCTTTTCAATTTTTAGATTATCATTCATGTTATCTGGCACTAGTTTTTATTAGTAAACAACAACGGTTTTGACCAAAGTCCAATTTTTGAAATTACCCATTTCATCCGGATCAGTATAACAATTTACAAAAATATCGGTTTGCTACCTCGAGCTTTAGCTGGGCCCCATAGTTTTCTTTTGTCGAGACATACGAACATTTAGGGTCACCTAGTTTTTTCTCACTCGTTTCACTTATTTTAGTAGAGAAACAATTAAGGTTTTGGGCAAAATCCAATTTTGAAATTACCTATTCCATCCCGCATCATTATAACAAGTTCCAAAAATATCAAACAGCTACCTCCAGCTGTAGCTGGGCGTCTAATTACTTTTATCGAGACATACAAACCTTTTGGTTCACCTATTTTTTTCAACATATTTCATTTTTTTTTCGACTTTCATTTCGTGTTGTATCGCAAGTGGTGTGAAGCACGGCATCGCCTCTGTTTTAAGTTTCATGTTTGTATTTTTTTTTCGGCTTGATAGGTTCCGGCCTATATCATAGCCGCTTAGTGGCCTCATGTTGCGTCGTTCGACGGGTGAAAATTTTTTTTTGCGTGTGTGTTTTGAGGGTAAGGGGTACTCAAAATTAACTTTAAATTTTTTTTCGAATTTGATGATCAACTTTGTTTTTTTCTCTTTTTTTGCCTGTGTTATATCGGCTCAGCGGCCTCATTTTGTTTCATTTGATAGGCGAATAAAGCTTTTGCGTGTGTGTTAAATCGATTTGTTAAAATTTCATTCTTTCGTTTTTTCTTTTTTTTCGACTTGATAGTTTTCGGCCGTAATATATCGACGTAGTGGCATCGCATCATATTGCGTCGTTCGTCGAGCGAAGAAAAAGTTTCTGTGAGTGTGTGATTAGAGGGCGAGGTGGACTTAATAACTGTTTATAAGTCTTAATCCTATGCAGTTTTTTTTTGCTTAAAGGTAGTTTCGGTTTTTGAATTTTCTTCCGATACTAATTTCACATTCTATTGTCGAACCATGTTTTTTTTTCAAAAGTAGCCTTTCTCATTTTGATAAATTTAGTTTTGTTTTTACTAAGCGGCTTTCTGGTTTTGTATCGCTATGTGTATAAAATTTGCAATTTTGAAACAGTGAGAACCTGGTTCACATTTAGCTCTAATTTTAGTGATTTCACTCCTGTGTACTCAAAGAGGGTCGGAAATAGAGGAGCTGGAGGACGAGGGGCTGCTGCGAACAATGTTTCTCCTTATCAGCCGAATCCGGGCTTCAGTTCAACTCCCAACAACGGATATTCATACAATCAGCAGCAGCAGCAAGGAGCGGGTCAAAATGCGTCTGCACCTAGAGGCGGAGCACCGTTCCGACCACAACAGAAATATCCAACCGGTAAAATTTAAGCCACAAATTGTTGGCATGTTTGTCACTGTTCTAAGTATCGAGTTTGCTTCCAATAAATAATGTCAAATTCCATGTGAAAAAGTTCTATTTCGGAATCAGGGGTATGGGAAATTGAATTTTTTGAAGTTATTTATTGCACAAAGTAGTCTGAGGTGAAGATAAAAGTCATGAAATTTTATGAGTAACTAAGTTTATGTAATACATTTCATGGTAAATGTCCGATAATTTGAATAATTTTTTGTGTAAACGTAGTGTTAAGTTGATTTTTTTCAGGTCCACAAGCAAAGTTTTCAGCTGGTCCGCCACAAGGTGCCCGTCAATTTATAAGCAGCAGTCGTCAAAGAGCCACTTCGAATTTCGACACACAGAATACTTCTTATGGAGGAGGGGCTGCAACAACAGCACCTAATCAACAACAACAGTTCAACCAAAGCAGTAGTAGTAACATATCAACCAATCAGACGCCGGTGACGTCACCACTGGCTGGCCAAAATGATCAAAATCCAAATCCAGCAGGGAATGTCCAGGAACAGCAACCGACGGGAGGCACGAATTACACTAGCCATCAAAATGGACACGTTCCGTCGTACAGCAATGCAATCAGCAGGGGCAATATGGGAGGTCAACCAAGTGTTGCGATGGCAACTGCTCAGTCTTCCCGGGAGATCAAAGAGCAAAAGCTCAAAATGTTTTCAACTAACGTCAAGTTTGGATCAGTTCCACAAGTGCCAGCATCGAATGACAAAGCATCTCCGAAACATATGCCCCCAAGCTCGGGAGGTCCCCAAGGTGCTTCTGGTGTTGCGCTAGGTGCTACAAGTGGATCGCATAGTGCCAAGTCTTCACAGAGCCCGACACCCACTAAGGGTAATGCATGGGAGAGACCACCGGTAATAAGCATCGGAGGCAAGTTGGAGGAGGCGGTTGTTCCAATGGCGACCCAAGTACAGAACGCTGCTCCACAAAGTTGGTTTATTATTGATACAGTCAGCAACTCGTTGATTTTCTAAAAGAACATTTCGGGCAATATAGTTGAGTTATACAATTAGCATCATTTTTTGAGAAGAGAACCGAATCAGATAAATGTTTATTAGGCGTTGATTCAATCTTGTAGAAGGTCCATAAATTTTAAGGTCGCTAATTTCAGCTCATTTAAGGTCAAAAATCAGTACAGGCTGCCCACCAATCGCCGAATATATCTTCATCTCCAGTCAAATCAGAGAGCACAACAGCTGGTAAGTGGAAAATATGTGCAATGTGCCAAATTTTCTCCTTTTGTGTATTATAAAGAGACGACCAGGATGAAAACTTCAGATAAGCCAAAAATATTAATTGATTAAGTTGAAAATTCGGTTATCGATTAATAGAGATAAGGTTAGTAGTGCTCTGGTTAATAGAGCCTGTGATAGTTTAAAAAAATATATATAGTATCATATTTTTGATTGAACCGTCCTCGTGGCACGTCTTGAATGGCTGTGACAGGTTCATAGCTTCAACATGATAACACAGCGCTTATAGGTGATGTCGGTACATAATCAGAAAAATGTTTATTATATCTTTTTTATGACCATCCATCTATGATGAAAAGGAGCGACATGGTAGCTGTTCAACCGCCCACTGTTATACGCCTGCTCAAAAGCTACATGCAGTTTTTGAACATTCAAATGTTTAGATTTTCAGCTTGACATGGAATTTGAAAACGGTCTTTGTGTTACAGACAAGAAAGAATCAGACATGAGTACAACTACAAATGAACCATCACAGTCCGTGAGCAATACTACAGAACCAGGGAAGGAAGCTGTGACGACGAATGAGAAGGGAGCTGAAGGTGGCGAGAAGAAAGGAGAAGCAGAAACGAAGACTGATCCGGCTGACATTGTCAAGAACTCGAAGTTGAATGTCAACGCAATGGAGTTCAAGCCATCATTTGCCCCTGCTCAGGTAGCTACCTACTAGAGTTAATTAACAGACAGTAAATTGATGGATGGGTATTTTAACAGAGTTTTCGCGATGTCATGGTTTAGTAAGACGAGTCATGAAATGCCATGTTGAGAAAATATGAATAATGAAGATCTTTATACTTGCAAATTTTGAAGCGAGGCAATTTATACTTTTCGTTGCTGAAGTTGTTTTATAAGCCTATCATTATTTAGTTGAACACAAAAGATGTTTTTCATGATCGAAAATTTGACATTGTGTACTTTTGTTTACACAAACGAGTTAGCGTGCGTACGGCTACATGACACATCGATTTTATCTAACCCAACTCGCAAATAAAAGTGTTCATTTAGTGTTTTTTTGTTGTATAGCATTGACAATTTAGTAGCATGTGTTCATCAGCCTTTTTTATGGCGCGTGTTTTTTTGGAAATTCAAGAGCACATGGCGCAGATGCGTGGACGTGAGACTCTTAATCTCTTGGTCGGATTTCGTTTCCGACACTTAGCAAAGTTGTGTTTTTTCAAGATTGTTTTTCAGGATTAATTTTTCATCTTTTAAGAGCCGATGAACGTGTAGTTCAGACTCTTATAAAAAATCTTAAACATTGGTTATGCTCAAATTTAATTTTCGCGGATTTATTTTTGATTTCTTTTCAAGTTAGTTCATTTCCTTAGTTAAAAGGAAGTTAAATTTACTATCGAACAGCAAAAATGTAAAGTTCACGAAAAACGTGATCGTTTTCTAGTTTCGAAAATGGATTTTAATTTTCAGATATCCCAGCAGTGATCGTTTGCTAGTTTCGAAAATGGATTTTAATTTTGAGATATCCCAGCAGAATAAAAATATTACTTTTGTTCCAAAAATTTCAATCATAACTTGTTTTTGAAATTCGAAAAGCTCTGCGGCCTTGAGTCTTTTCCAACTGTCTGTTGGTAATGTTTATCGTGAACGTATGAATGATTTAGGAGCAGGCCGAAGACCAGTCTAATGTCTATTATTCTGGGCCGGGTCCAAATCCTCTGGACAATATAGCTGCCCAGGTGCCTCATATGTCACTCTCTGAGGATCACTCGATGGCAGCGGCAGCAGCTGCCCAGTTCCCCCAGGGCATAGCAGCTCCTCCTGCAAGCTTCATGACTTTACCACCTCATTACTTCCATCATGCGAATTTCCCAAATGGAGCCGCGGGAATGTTTCATCAGCCGATGCCCCAGCAGATCCAGGTTCCGATCCAGTCATTGCCAGTCGTCTCCGGAGGCGGTCCACCGCATCTCTCAGCTGGAGTACCAGCATTTGCAGCCCAGCGACCACCACTGTTGCATGGCTCAGCACAGAACATGGCAGCTCAGTTCTCAGCTGCGAATATGTTCTCGCAAAACAGTCCCGTTCAATCGAGTCCATATAACGGGACGTCGTCACCAACCTATCAAGCTGCTAAAGGAAATAGACCAAGAGGCTAGTATTGCTATTTTTACGGCTCCTCTACTGTTCGCCTTTGCCTCTGATTTTAAGAGTAATGGACGTAGTGAGGACTTTGATGTAGGTCTGGGTGATTTTTCGTGCTTTTTTTCGGGAAAAACTCTTTAAAATTTCTTCACGCTGAAGTTTGATTTTTCGCGATTTGACTTGTGATTTTTTTTCAAGTTCAGTGCATTTCCATTATTAAAAGGAAGGCAAACTCCACTATCGAACATCAAAAATGTAAAGGTCACGAATAACGTGATCGACTTGTAGTTTCGAAAGAGGTTTATGTTCAAATTTCCCAGAATTAAAAAGTTTACTTATTGATCCTGTTTTATTAAATTGGGTTAACTTTGTCATAAAAGCACCAATCATAAATTGCTTTTGAAATTCAATGAGCTTCAAGGGCAAATATTTTTTAAGCTTCGAAAGATGAAGTTTTTACAAAAAAAAACAGGTCAGTTTTTCGGTTTTCTTGCATTCATTACTAGTACTTTTTTCAACTTTCAGTTGGCTATTTTATTTAATCTGATTTTTATTCAAGCTATTTTTCTTTCAAGCAGTCAAAATATTCAAGTATTGGAAATTGGTTTGGCTTAATTGCCTGACAACAGACAAATTGGCCCTCATATAATACAACTTCGTAAAATCAACGAAGTTAAAAATGATGTTTATCTAGTGGGGGCGGAAACGGCAGAAAATTATACGTTATTAATTGTATACAAATTTTCACGCTTTTAACAAGAATGACAGGTTTTGATTTTTCAAGAATTCTTTAGTTATGTGTTTGCTCGAAATTAAGTTGAAGCCATTCTTTCGCATATCTCAGTTCGTTTTGAACACAACGAGAGCCTCGAAACTTATTCAATTTGCTCTAAAAGTGCTGCTGATAGAGAAAATATTTATTGTTTTTCAAAATGTGTTACTTTTGTTCCAGCTCCTTTCCGACCTCCGCATCCCAACGCACAGTACTTTCCGAGCACTTCCCTTCCGAACGTGGCAGCAACGGCATCCATGAGTGTAAACCAACAAGGGCAGCCAGTGGTCTCCGTTTCAGGACCCAACCCCGCTCAGATGAATTACCAGCACGGTGTCATGGGAGGCGCGGTATCTAACGGAAGCAATGGGCATGGCAACAACGCAAATTCAGGACTAATCCAGAACGTCGGCAATCCTTCTTTCCCGTACCAACCGCAGCAAGGATTATTGGCGGGGCCTCCTCAGGGACTTTATGGAGCAGCAGGGCAAGGTGTCGGAGGGGGTGGTGGTGGACCTAACGGTCCTCCGCCTGGAAGTTTGTTGTCGTTCACGTCTCAGGGCACAGTAGGGGGGCCTGGTAGTGGCCCGAATCAGGCCCATATGCACGGACCCAGTCACCAAATGGGAGTTGCTGCTGGAGGCAACACTGCCTATTTTCATCCCAACGCAGCTGGTGCTATGTACCCTCCGTCACTCTATCAAGCTCACGTTTGTATTTTAATTACTTTTTCTAATTCCACACTTATGAAGTCTCAATGGATCGTGGGTTTTGTTTTTTTTTTCACCGAAATTTGATCTCGCTACATGTTAATTTTTAGCGGTTTCACTTATATTTTCTTTCTCAAAGCGATTCAAATTCGTTTTTAAAAGACAGGCAACTTATGCTCTTCAATTAAGAAAGTGCAAATGGCGTGAAAAAATGTGAATGATTTTTATTTTCGAAAAAGGATTTGCCAGCTGAATACGAAATTTCTCGATTGACCAAGTTTTCTCTAATCGGTGTAGTTTTATGAGAAATTGCCAATTATAAAATACAATGAAGTTAAACGTTATGAATTTAACGTTTTTGAGTTATAAATTTTTCGAAAGCTGAAAAATTTTCAATAAAATTCGATCATTTTTTTCGGTTTCCTGGAGTTCATTGACATTTATCCTTTTTCTGTTGGCTAAATTTTATTTTGATTATTTTGTTTTGTTTGCAGATGCGAATGCCTATGCCAGGTGGGATGATTGATGGAAACGGCAACGGAAATATTCCCTTCGGTGAGTTGAAATTACTATAATAAAGGAGTTCATTGTTATGTCACCTAGCAACATTATTACGAGGCAGTTGTTAAGTTTTGGAGATTCTGAAGCTGAGTATAATAATAAAAACAAGTAAACCCTATAAACGTGTTATACTATTAGCTTACTACTTTGCCAACTAGTTCTCTCTTTGTATTCAGTTTCAGTGTGCTCATTTTGTTCGAACACTATTTGGCTGGCCATTTAGTTCAATGTGGTGTTTTACCCGCTTGATATTTGCCTGGTTTTCGCTATTTCAAGTGGTGTACAATTCTAACGATAGCAAGGCGAAATCGATATAAGAGAAAGCGATTGACTCATAATCGGTAGCTTTTTTGAAACTTATTTTCATAGTGTTATATGTCAATCCACGAAGTGAAGACCCATCATTAGGACCCGTGCTTAAGAGTCGATGAACGTAGTTCAGACTCGTATATAGGTCCTTATAATTTTTTGTTCCTTTGAAAAGTCTTAAAAGTGCTCTAATTGTAAAAGAAGTCCATTCATACTCGCATTGCATTGTTCGCCTATATCGATGAGCTTTTGTTGTTTTTCTTCATTTTGTTTATAATTATCAGATATATTGAGAGATTGATAATTGGGCTGATTTCATTTTTTTGGAGTTTGAGACCGTTTTATTGTAATTTTTAAATTTACTCTGTTGATGTTAATACGATTTTACCTTAGTGATAATAAAAAAATGATTGGAAGCTTATGATATAGAGGACCTTTTGTTGAAAAAAGCGCTGTTAATTGAAATTAATAATTTCTTGGCAGTTTGTTATTTTGGAAACTTTTTGAACGATTTTTTTTTTGTTTTGACAGTTTCCTTTTTTGTTATTAGATTCGACTAATGGAGTTCCCCGATATCTCGAAAGAGGATTTTCAGTGTTTTAGGTTAATATTTTTCATCTAGTTCGCTAAAAATTTGGTTATTCGAAGTTTTAAGCAAAATGTTTTCTCAAATAATTTCAAGTTACTTTTCTATTAAGAGTAATGAATGTAGTGAGTTTTTTTTTTCAGGAAATTTGTTCACGCTCAATTTTGATTTTTCGCGGTTTGACTTGTGATATTAAGTTTCAAGATCAGTGCATTTCCATTGTTAAAAGGAAGGCAAACTCCACTAGCAAACAGCAAACGTGTGTAAAGGTCTCGAAAAACGTGATCGACTTCTATTTTCGAAAATGGAAGTAAAAGTTTTGCCTATTGATCCAGTTTTCTCAAATTGGGTTAATTTTAACAAAAAAACTGTCCATCATAAATTGTTCTACAAATTCAAAGAGCTTTAAGGCCATCTTTTTTTTCTTCGAAATTCAAAAGTTGGCTTGGTTTTTGTTTTATAAGAAAGCATTAAATCAAGGTTATTATTTTAAATGGATCTAAAAATCTTTTTTTTTTGAATCTAAATGAATTTAAACAATTTAGAATTCCGTAGTATCTGGTTTTAAGTTGATTTTGAAGTTTTGTTTGCGAAGTGCAGCTTTGCCTCTGTCATCCTTGATGTGTCTTCTTTTTTTTTTAAATCTGAGGATTTTTGTGCTTCATGATTTAAACTTTCTAGATCGCCGAGTAATGAAAAGAAGCACTAATTCATCCCGCACTCAAAAATTGGCGTTTTGCTTGGCGTTTTTAAAACGGTTTTTTGCCACTCATTCAGACAAGCGCGCGAGTTCAGTGTACGATTAACTAGCAACAGAGCTTTTCTCGTAATATATTTTGCCCGGAAAATGGCAAAAACGACATTAGATTCTACTTGTGTTTTCTTCATTGTGACTAGTTTTCCTAGCTAAAGACTAGACAAAATTGGAAGTTCATTCTTCACTGGATTACCTGGAAAAAATTAAATTTTTCCCGGGAAAAGCGAGGAATAAGAGAGCAGAGAATTTTTTGAAAATTTTCGATTGTTTGATTTCGAATACCATAACGTATTTGTTTTGGTCCCGCAAGCTGGAGTACCACAATTAACTCCCAATCGGAGACAGAAAACACATTTGATTCTCACAGATCGCGTATATCGTAGAAATGAAATGTTTCAAAGTTTTCCATTTTCTGTAACCAGAAAGGTATCTAGTGTTGTGAATCTGTCGCGCATTTCTATGCTGAAGGTCAGTATGATCTGAAGAAGTTCCGTTTTTGCTCGCTTGTCCAATTCATCATTTGGATGACTTCATATCGTGACAAGTTCACTTTTGTCTTCTCTTCATTGCCATTAATTGTGTCTATACCAGCAAAAGGTAGTGCGATGGTGCAATCGACCAAGAAATTACAAGAGTCTCTTCGAGTCTTGAGATAAGACAGTTCGAATTTTTTTTCACTCGTTTTGTACTTGAATCGCTTCGAAAAACAATTAATCTGAAAAACTTGCCTGTAATGTCTTTCAAATTCAAATAATCGTATCAGGTTGTTTCGCCTCCCCGTTGAGGCTCAATTAAAGCAGTCCTGCAAATAACCTTTTACTTATTATACTATTAACAACCGTTCCTGTCCTTTGGAACATTAGTTATGCATTTTAATTCATTGTAAGCGTGTTTGGCACAGATGATTACACGAGTGACTGTTCAACAACAGGTAACGGTTCTAATCCATGCTTAAATTGTGTATAAAGGTTTGACATTAGGCAGATAAAATTGAGAGTAAACACTTGGTACAAAAAGCAAAGAACCCTGACAAAACCTTGCGCCCTGACTAGTTTTCATTCCGACCACTGAAAGTGGGGAGGAATTTTGTCTTTGGGTGTTTTAGTTTTTCTTCTACATTTTTCCACTTAAAATTCAGGGACGACAAATAATCATCGAAATGCTTCGAGAGACATATCATATGAACGCCTTCTAAGTCAGTTTGGAGAAAAACGGTTTTGAAATTTTTGCTTTAGCCTAGTTTCGAGCAAGTAGGTGTTGTAATAGGAAAATATTTTTTTAAAGACGTGCTCTTTGAAGATTTGCTCTTTGAAGAAACTGTAGTCGATTATAATTAATTACAATAATTCTAAGTTTTTTCTGTGCTTTCACACTATGCGCAAAAAGTGGATCAAATTTCATGAATGTGGTCAGAACTTTGCTACTTACACAACAACCGGCTACTCTCATATCAAATTTACCATTATAATCAATGGTGGGGTATAATTTCATCAAAGTGAGCTCAAAATTTGTTTCCTTGCAGCCATTATTTTTTGACCATTGTAATATGGGCTATGTTTACCCGAGTAAGAGCAGGTATCTTTGACAAAAGCTTAACTTAGTCTAAATTTTTCGTGATATATTCGAAATTGAACTGTTTTAGTCGGCCACGCATTGGCCACAACAGTACCTGGAGGACCAGGCATGACAACTCAGGGGGCAGTGTTCCAGTCTCAGGGACACCCACACCACACCCAGCACCATGTCAACATGCAGGGCACCATGCAACCGGGACTAGTGGCCCAGGCGGGAGGGGGAGGAGCGAATGGGGGGAACCAACAGTCGAACCACAACAATGCAGCCGCATCTTTTCAGCAGCAGAATCAGGTATGTATCTCTCTGATTGCATAGACTACAAGTCCGACTCTCATCCTTTTATAAAGCCTTCATTTTTGGAGTCTCATGATTTTACACAGCCTCCATTTTTAAGTTGAGGAGAATGTTTTTTTTAAATTGAAGGTAGTTTTATTTTGAATTTGCATACGCAATAGTTTTTGCGAGATATCGGTTCGTTGATAACTCGTGTAGACACCCGAATAGGTGCAGGAATTTTGATTGATAATGGTTAAGTTAGTCATATAGCATAGTCTCCAAGTCTCCTATTCTTGTTTATTCCTGCCTCATGATAATAGATCTTGTTATGTAATCATTACTAAATAATTATTAGGAACTGAATTAATGCACCAAATATATTTCATGTTGAAGAAATGGTTTGATAAGCTTGTTGCACTGCTAAACATTGAAGACCATTCTACTCAATAATTACAATACTCATTAAATCAAAATTAAATGCGTTTAATTTCTTTTCTGTAAACATGATCTTCTAAGTTTTTATCTCGAATGGATATTGCCTATGATGTAAATTAAAAGCACGGTTGCATGATTCGTTTTTGTGATAAGTCTAAATGGATGATTTAGTTGAAGTTCGCATGCATTTGTCAAGTTTAAAGTTCTAGAAACTGATTTTTAGCTACAAGACTACGCAAGTTCGTATCCGCCGCTGCCTTCGTTGAATAATGGTAGTGAAAGCAGCTCGCGTGAAATTAATCAGACGGATACTGGAAGTAACGTCGAAATGAATGAAATGATTGCAAACCATCAAGGTACTCCCTCCCAATACCCTTCGGGGCCATATTACGCCCAGGTTTCGATGGAACCGGGAATACAAATGAACTCACATAATGACTTCCCAGCCTTGCAACATCACCACCAACAGCATCGCCATAGCATGGGCGACGCGCAAGTCATTCCAGGCGTGCACCACCAACTCGAAGTTGAAAATGAATCTTTAAACGAAAGTTACGGCCGCGATAGACCCAACAACAACGACCAGCACTTGCACCAGAACTCTGTCGTCCAAAATCAGAACGTAAGCAAAGAACAACAAGATCAACGACTGGGCTACTCGATTGCGGGGTCCGAACTGAGAGATGTCAATATGATGTCGGGGTTGAAGGAGGAAGAGGTAAAGTGTAAATGGAGATAACAATTGACCTCTCAAAGAGGCCTCACGAGTGCTGATTACATGTCTGTCTTTGAACTTTCTTGACATCAGCTGATCTCCTGGATTGTGATCACGTGATTAGCTTTCTCGATTCAACTCCTGTCTTCAATTTTCACCTAATCATGTCTGTTTAATTAGTTGGTTGTAACCAAGACTGCGTTGATTTTTTTTTCACAGGCTGATTTTCTTTGGTTCTAAAAACGTCAGCTACTCATCTAGCTGAGAAAGCTAGCGGAACTACAAACAATTGAACTGTTTCTAACAAATAGCCTGAATTGGCATATAAATTTGTTATCAAAATCGCCAGCTAACCAAAATAGACTGAGAATCATTGACCACTGTGCTTTAACCATCCGCGTAATCACTTTTATTAAGAGTATTAAACCAATCGATGGATGTCTTAATTGTTTCAGCTCTCCGGAGTTAATCACCCGGGTCACCCAAATATGAACAGCTCCCAGCAGAATCAACAGCAAAGTCAGCAACAACAACAGCAGCAGGCGCTTGCTGCTGTGATGTCGGTAACAGGTACCCCTAATCAACACCTGGTCCAGCAGCCCCAGTTGCCCAGACCCGGACTGCATGCGCCTGGTCAACAGCAGCCGATGTATTTAGTTAACTTGCAACCTAACATGGCCGTGCAGCAGGCCGCGGTGGTTGCCCAACAGCAGGCTCATTTCGGGGTTCTTCAACAGCATATGCATCAGCAACAACAACAACACCAGCAGCAGCAACATCGCAATTCCATCTCATCAGGACCCCCGCAGGGCCACGAATACAACAGGAGCAATTCACAAGATGTTACAGCAGGTAAGAAAGAGTACTAGTTTAGTCGAGGAAACCCCTTGCTGATGTTATTGACGAAAAGAATCTCAATTTGTTTCTTACTCCAAGTGATGTGAAGCTCCGCTTCGCCTCTGATGAATTTCATTTCACCGAGTTTTTAAAAAAAACGTGCAAAATTAATGCGATTTTTTTGTGTTACTATGATGTTCCATTTGTGATCCCGTTAATCGGTGCTCTTAGTTATTAGGATGAACAGATAGTTTTTAAAGTTGCGATCTGGTGATCTTTTTAACGCATTTAAGATCAATTACATCAGTAATAATGGACATTCAAACATGACTGCTCCCTTGTTAATTATGACTTCTAACTGTCTCAAGGGTCAACTTCATCCACTAATTTTTTGGAAATTTTGCTCATATAATTTTTTTGGGCCTTGTATGTGATAGCTAACTGCTCCGGATGTTTCAGGCCATGCAAACAAGTAGTATATTTGAGTTGACGAAATTGATTTCAAATCCGAACCAAGGCAGGAGATCGAAGCTGCAGCACAGCGCCAAGGGAGCAGAGAAGGAAGATAATACGTTTAAAAATTATTACAAATTAAAAACACCAATAAAAATATTCTATTCCTTCGTGTTGATCTTTTAATTTCAATTTCATTCTCTTCGATTTTTGTTCAATTTATCATATATCATCAGTTTTTTTTGCACCAGAATTCTATTTTCCAATGATTAATGCTTAATGATATATTGAAGTTTAAATGGATCGGGATTGGAATAGATTTCTGGTTGTACTTAAAAAGTTGAAATCTGTTTTGTGGAAAAGTAGACGTTGTGTTGTTACGACTGACCGTTGGCTGGCTTATCATTTTGTAAAAAGGCTGTAATCTCGATGCTTGATGTAACTAACACCAATCAGTGCAAACACTAAAATACTACCATGCTATTATTTATCTTGCTCACGTTGATCATCTACTTCCTTCAATTTAATTTTCTCAAACCACACTTTTACTTACTTCTCCACTGATGTTAATAATTACAAGGATAGCCGGTTACTGTGCAAGTAGTAATTTTCAAAATTAATACATGGCTCGGGGGAGAGTTAACTTGGTCAACAGTGGTCGGGTCTTGATGTTAGAAATTGTTCACAAGGGCCAAAGTTTCTCAAATTTAGATCAGTATTGGTTTGCGATATCTGACATCCTGCATTAGCACCCATTTAAAAAGTTCAAAAAATCAAATGTGTACATCCAGCTTTAGTTGAGCACCTAGTTAGGAGTATGATTGTAGTGAAGACTCTTTTATAGGTCTTGCTGATTTTTTTTGCTTGTTTTTTTTCAGGAAAAGGTATAAAAGTCTCAATAACTACAGATGTGCATTATGATATTGATGCATTTATGAATGCACATAGATAAATATATGCTCTTTTTGAGTTAAATTCAATTTCATCTGCTGAAAAGCACGTAAATAGCACTCTCTAAATACGAACGTGAAAATTGTGCGGAAAAACTTGAACGATTTCTAGTTTTGAAAGTGGAATTTAATTGTTAGATTTCCAGCGGAATAAAAACCTAACCTTTTAATCCAGTTTTCTCTAGATAGGGTCATAATATCAAAAAATTTAAATTGTTCAAGAAATTCAAAGAGCGCTTAAAGGGGCTCTTTTATTTTTTTTTCTCTGAAATTCGAAAGTTGGGATTTTTTCAAGCAAGTCAATGAACGATACGACTTGCGATGCAAAACGCAAAAGACGCAATTGCGACGTAAAAAAGATACAACAAAAGCTTTTTGTTTTTGTATAGACAAGGTGAAAGTATACTCAGAGAGTAAAAATGGAAATCACAAATTGAGGTTTCAATTCAAATTGAGATGATAGAATTCAATTTCTACTCTCTGGGTAACTTATTACCCAGTCTATATAAAGTCAAAAAGTTATTGTTCAAACTTTTTTTCGCATAGCAACTTGCGTTTTCTTGCCTTACATTGCAAAATGCATTGTTCAGTTCCTTATTTTCAAGTTTTTTAAAAGCAGAAAGCTGGTCGATAGAATCGTGTTTTAAAAAGACGCGAATTAATTTCATGGGCAGTTTTTGAAGCAACTGAGAAACTCATTCAGATTAGTGATAGTTTTGTCTCCAGGTTTTCCAATATTTGCGTCATTTAAAAACATCTCGTTTTAGTTTCAATTGGTCTTTTTCAAGTTAAATTTTGAGTAGGAAAAGTTTTTTGCTCTCTTGGTTGCTTTTCTGAGAAAAAAAAGTTTTATTTTTCAGTCTTATTTTCAATCTTAAAAGGATGTTTCCGTTTTTTTCTTACTAATTTGCCGCTAAGCTGAGTTGATGAGAGGGAGGAAGTGGGCTTTAAAATTAATATCATGATAAACGTTCTTACTTATATCAGCTTCTTTGGTATTTTTTTTCCACTGTATTCGCTCAAGAAAAATGACTGAAGTTTCAAATTAATTTCAGCTCCTAATTTCATTTTCAATTTTAAAGACAGATTCAATTGAGGATCATTTTCATCTCTTGTCAATTGTTTTGTTACCTTTTTCAATGCTTTTAAACATTTAAAGATTTCGTTAAGCATATCATTGGAAAGTTTGGCACGAGATAATTGAATAATTGATTCGCTGCTAAAATTATTAATTTTAGCTTCTAATTTCAAAGTTATTCTTAAGGATTTATTTTCATTAGGTATCTTTAAGGTTCTCAGACTGTTAAACGGTCAGTTGAAAAGCGTTATTAACGACAAGATTATTGCATAATAAATATTTATAAATAGTTGATGAAAGAAAAAACGCTGATTTTGTGTCAGGGTTAAGGATTTTATGATTGACTTTTATTTTTATTTGATTCAATTGTTTCGGTAAAAAATGAGACATTTACATACCTTTTTTAAGTTAAATTTGTCTAAGGGAAACGCGTACGTGATTAAATGCTCTGCAAAAATAGGTCGAATCCTTTGAAATTTTAATTTAGCTACTTTTTCTTGTAGCAAAACGTTGACTGAAGTTGGTTCCCGGATAGTGATGTCTTAAAATTTGCTATTAAGATGGTAATTGGAAAAAACTCTTAAGCTGAAGTTTAATATCATTGACTTTGCAACAGAACTAGTTATATTATAAATGATTTTAGTATTTTTATAGATTTGTAGGTAATCGATTTGTAATCGCTGTCAGATAGGAGCATAGTTTGTTCCAGTAGGAAAAAAGTGTGTATCTGAATCAGTGTATTAAGTATCATAAATACTAATTGCTCTATGAGTGTTGAAACGTGCAAGCATTTCAACCTCTTGATTTAGCATAACGGTTAGTCCCGGCATCACATTCACCTTTGATATTTTTTGGGGTAAAAATTATTTTTTACTTTTGTTAGTTATTTCATTATTGAAATGAAAACCAAGAAATTCACTTTCAACTTTAATTAGAAAATGAGATTTGAATTTAAAAAACTTTTTACATTGCAAATTTGAGCTCATTAATTTGCGCAAAAGTTCCGTTAGCTTATGAAATATTCAGATTTGAAAAAGGTTTGACTACACAAATTTTTCGTTCATGTCTTGGAAAATTCAGTTTAAAAGTTACAATTAGTCTCTTTTGAGTTAAAAATCAAGCTTAAAAAGATTTTTGCTCTCTTGGTAGCTTTGCTGAAAACATTTTTTTTCTTAGTTTTCAGTGTTAATTTTAATCTTAAGACTAGTGTTTTTTTTCTCTAATTCACTGCTAAACTGAGTGTATGAGAGAAGAAGTGGGTTATTTTTGTACTATAATGATTAGCGTTGCTTAAAGTAATAAATTAATTCATTTCTTTTTACATGATTTGCGAAGCAATAATGATTGAAAATTCAATTGAAGTTTGGCTTCACATTTCATTTTTAAATTTTGAGAAATAGTGTCAATTGAGGATCTTTCTCATATCTCGCTAATTTCCTTGTTGTTGTTTTTGTCCAACGTCTTTAAACTGTTAAATGCTTAGTTGAACTGCGTATCCTGACACAAACATTTTGAATAATTAATTCGCTTTAAATGGTTGATGCATTAAAAAACGCTGATTTTGTATTAGCTGTTGAAGATTGACTGTACTTTTTTTATTCCACTTGTTTTGATAAATTATGAGGTAAATGTTTTAATTGCTCAGCTATTTTTGGTAATTGGTAATATTGTTTTAAGCAGTTTTATCTGCACTATTTGACATTATTCTTCGTACTTGATAGTAACCTGGAGATTAATTGCGAAAAATTTCTTAAGAGGAAGTTAATTACCATTGGCATTACAACAATACTTTTAATATTATAGTTTTTATGATTTTATATGATTTGTACAATAGGAATTTGTAATTGTTGTGAAAAACGAATATAGATTTTTCAAGCACCAAAAGACGATAAAAAAGCACGATCTTGCGCAAACTTTTTTTTGAAATACCCATGACACACATAAAACCATTTTGACAATTCTATGAAGGTCGATCACAATTGAACTTTTGATTTTTTCTTTATGATTTCATTGGTTGTCAACTCTTTCAATCCAGGATTCTTTTTTTTGATGAAATTTATTATTTAATGTATCATAAAATGACTGACTCTTTTTGGAGCAAATTAAATTTTTCGAAAGTTGTGTCTCTTTAAAGCGTGTCGGTTTGTCTCAGCTGCATCACATTAAATTATTATTATCTTTAAACGATGAAACCTGCATTATCAAACAGTTTTTGTTCCTGGCACTAGTTTGTGTTCCGGTCACAATTTGGAGAAGAACTCAGTGCTCTGTATTGTTTTTTTTTTCATAATTTTGTCTAGCACAAAGGAAGCCCGTAGAAAGTCAAATGTTGAAAAATGTTATCATTTTAACGCTTTTTTGGCCATGATTCAGATTTCAACAGAAATCGATAAAATTAGTTTGTGTCGAGAAAAACTGGTCTGAATGATTTCTCAGACAAAGCATTCCAGATTTAAATTCCAACCTAATCCATTTGGAATCTTTTTAATAGTTTTACTCATTATTGTTTAGTCTTATTAATCATTCATCAGTTCGTTCGCTGGCGAAACATGTTTAACAACAAAATCAAAATTTTTTTTGAAAAACTCCGATGTTTTCTTGTTTCTGATTAATTTTGTTAAAAAGTTTCATGTGGTGACATGTTCTCTGTTTTTGTACAAGAACTGACTTCTTTTGTTGTTTTGTAAAAATTTTCATGAATGAGAGTTTTTCGAAAAAACAACATGTTGTGAGGAGTGGCTGTTGAATTGAAAAAAAAAAATGATTTTTCTTTTTTTTTCGTTATTAATTATATACAATTACTAGAGAGAACGAAAATTATAATCAATTTAATTAAAACTTAAATACAACAATTTAATTTACTCTTTTTTTGCAATGATTTTTCTACCGTTTTTAAGTAGAAATTATAGCAAACTTAATGGAATCTGTTTCAGCAGTCAACTGGCGAACTAATTTTAAAAAAATATCACACAGAAAAGCTTTTTGAATTTTTATAGACCGAACGAAAAACGCACGAAGAGTAGAAACCTAAATCTCAAATTGAAGTCTCGTTTCAAACTGAAATTGAGGTGATTGAATTCATTTTTTGCTCTCCGGGGATATTTTGAGCTCAAAAATTTTTCGTTGGAATTTTTTTGCGTCGCAAATTGCGTTTATTTCACCTTGCACCGCAACACTCGCATCGTTCAGTTTTTTTTCAGATTTATAGAAGCAGAAGGCTGGTCGTTAGAGCTGTGTTAAATTTGTGTTGATACATTTAAGAACGTTAAAACTTTCATTAGAGTTGTGGACCCCTTCTCTCTCATCTACTCAGTTTAGCGGCGAATCACTAAAAAAGCAAGACTTAATTTTTAAGATCAAAATTAACACTGAAATTTAAAAAAAAAACGATTCTTCTCAGCATAGAAACCAAGAGTGTTAAGTTGATCATGAAAGTTCAGTCTTGGTTTTTTCTAGTGATTTGCCCCTAACTGAGTAGATGCGAGAGAAGAAGTAAAATACAGCTCTAGTAAAA